CCCTCTCCCTCTCTCTGCCTCCGTGGAAGCAAAGCGACGGTGGATTCCGAGAAGCACCGAGTCACTGTGCGCGGCATCGACCGCATCGCATATTGTCCAAGAGAAATCGATTCGTGCGTTCTTTTTTCTAACTCTCCGTCCTTGTTACCTGTTACAGTTGGCTTTTTATTAGCGTAATTTCTGTAAATACCTTTTTAGATCGTTAATCTCAACGATTGATCTTCATTTATTGATCTATACGAATCATCTCGTCCGACATGACTTTTCCAAAAGTTTCACTTATCCGTGTGCTATCGAGAATTAAAATCAATATTTTATAAGTAATTCATATAATACCATAGAGATCGTAAAATTATCTTTTTATTCGGAGAAAGAAGGGAAGAACGATAAAAACGACTTATCTTTACGATCTATCGAAATATCGATCGTACGGAAGAGTTGAATCGATTCGGGTTCCTTGCCTCCTTAATGATCGACGAAATTATCTTAGAGGACAATCTGAATTCTTCGAAAGGAGTGGGAGAAAGGAGGACGATACTTAATTACAAACTTCAGAGGTGCATCCCTTTCTTAACGCCCTCGTAAAACTGTCCCTTGATCCTCCTCGTTAATAAGCGAGCGAGCGAGTGCTCGCGCGCTTACTCGACCAAGGGGGTTACATAATGCCCTTTAAGACCTCGTTTCTCTCTCTCTCTCTCTCTCTCTCTCTCCCTTCCCTCCTATCTTATTCTCACTTATCTTTCTCGCCCTTTCTCTCGCCTCCTCCGTCTTCGTTCTTCTTTTTTCCTCTTTGCCTCGTGCTCGCACGTTGCCTCTGCGGTTGCCGCGTTGATTGCGATTTATAATGTCGAGTGCACGGCACTTCGGGTATTCGCCATTGTCGAGGGGATCGAGACGATCGGTTACGGCTTCGTGCGCATAGGAAACGATCGACCGGTAGCGGACTCGTGGGCGGGCAAATTTCGTTTCTCCGTATGCGCGTACGTAGCACGTAGCAATAGTAGCCATCTTCTTGTAACGCGTCCAAAAGTGACTCATCGCTTTGAAGAAGTAATGGTTAAGGATTCGTATAAAGATCAAAGTAGCATCTAATAGAAAGGAAATGTTGTCTTTCAAAACTATCATCGCGTACTCTTCGTCGTTCCTCTTCGACTTCTTCTTCTTCTTCTTCGAAAAGGGAAAAGGATACGATCTTTAGAATTCGAAGATTATTGACTCGGCGTTTTCTATGCGACGGTGACTACTCTACGGAAGGAGGAGAAAGACTGCGAGGACGGGGAGGAGGAATAAATTAAAGAACGGGTTCTCCCTCACCGCAGGACCTCATTACGTCCAGCTTCATTTGTTTCCATTTTAATCGGAGGGCCCCGGTCGAACGGGCGCGGACCAGTAACCAGAACGAGAAACCAGAATCGCGCGCGCGCAAGAAAGAGAGAGAGCAGAACCACCGCCGAATGCTCGAGCAAGATTCTCTCTCTCTGCAGAAAGAGAGAGAGAGAGAGAGAGAGAGAGAGAGAGAGAGAGAGAGAGAGAGAGAGAGAGGGAGGGAGGGAGGGAGGGAGATGGGCGGGGGAGGAAGATGGCACGAGCAGGACATGCCGCGTACGTGTTTCCAGTCGCGAACCGTTAAAACGTATCGGTGATTTGTGATAATAGAATTCTCCTTTACCGCTTTCTCCGACACGAAGATACCGAATTAATCCCTTTGTAAGCCGATCTCTTCTTCTTTCTTCGAGGGAAGCTTTCTACGCCGAGAAAGGGAAGTTAATAATTTTGTCCTCGTTCGTATTTATAACTTATCGAGTTCCCTCTTTTAAGGATTATCGCAATAAGTCGAGAGTACTACTCGCGTCGTTCGACTCGATCTTGATTTCCCGTTGATAATAGCAACGGTACGAGACGTGGACTCTTTCCTCCCGGTTCGGTCGCATGCCTTAGGCCAATCGAAGAGAGATAAAAGAAGAAAGAAAAGAGGTAAGACGACAGGTTAACGAGTCACGGAGAAAAAGAAGAGTGTACAGAGGCAAGACAATGGAGCACGGCAAAGAAGGAAGCCGCCTTTATTACAGAGCGCGGAGCTCTCGACGGACAGTCAAACGGACACCTTTTGACTCTCCTCCTTTATCGGTCCATTTCGTTTTATTACCGTGGCGAAATCTCGACCGACATTCGCGACTACCGCACGCGCTCTCTCGAAAGGGAAGGCTCGTTTTCAGGACGCAAACCAAGAGATACGTGAATTTTATCGAAGATCCTCCTTCGACGAAGACCGCCGACCCGAGTCACACGAATTGACCCGGGGCTTTAATTAAACTCCAAATTCCAGGCGCGTATTGCGACATCGTCCGAGCGTCGTGTCTCTCCCACCGGCGCGAGCGTTCTACACGTATGTAACGTAAGACGAAAAGAAAGAAAGAAAGAAAGAAAGGAAGAAAGAGAGAAGAAAGAAGAAAAAAAAAAAAAATAAACAAGAGGAGACTTCTCTCCATCCGACGAGCCGCGATCGATCATCGTACCCGATTCTCTAGCGGGATAATCTTGCGCGAGCGCGTGATAATTGCCGCGTCTCGTGTTCTTAGAAGTTGCCTTCTTTTCGCCTCCATTTCGCTTCCATTTCGTGCGACAGCTGTCGCGCACGGCCGTTGCATAAGACCCGCGCACGAGTCGCACCGCGTTAAAGGAATCTCGCGCGATCGTCGAATCTCACGGTTGCAAAGGGGAGAACCCCTCTCTCTTTTTCTAACGTCGACTATTCCGGTATACGGGCAAAACGTTGGGAAATTAGTTGGAAAAACGAAAAGGAGCGCGCGCGCGCGCGCGCGCTCGATGACAAAACTTTCGTGGAAACGGTTCGCCTTCGCTTTCGCTTTGCACGATTCTCCTTTCTTGAACGAAAGAAAAACGGACGCATAGATGTGTATCTCTCGGAACTGATTAACATGTAGCTGCGTATAAAATCAAATAGGAAAAAGGACAATATAAAATTAGAGGAAGGAGAGAATAGAGAATAACGAGAATAGAAACGAAGGTATTCGAAAGATCAGAGAGACAAAAGGTAATTGCGTGAAACCGATTAAGCAGCGACACGCTCGTAAGGCGTCTCTTTTTGCGCGGCCATCGAGGGAATAGCTGGAAAACAATGTGCCTCGCGTCGATAGCTTCGACTTCATAATAAACGAAGGGAACGTATGACGTGAGAGAATTTAATGAACCGGATAATCGTTTCGACAACTTTCACGTGGCGCGAGTTACGCTCTCGAGATAAAAACAATCCAAATCGATCGCTCGCGTACGCCCTGTCTCTCTCTCTCTCTCTCTCTCTCATACGTTGCAGCCATGCAAATTTTGGCTCGTCCGATCGTTCGACACAACGATCGAAAAAGAAAATTTTTAGAATGTCATAAAAAAACAAAAAAAAAGCTCCGCTTAAGCTCCGTTCCTCGTTAAAAGAGTGATAATCGTTTGCAGATAATTTATTATCGTAGAACGTTCGATTATGACACCTGCTCAATCGAGAAAATACGTCGAATTGTTCGATCAAGTAGACAAGAATATTTATCTTTCTCATTCGTGCACACAAACGTGATAAGGGTCCGCGTTTAAGTTCCGCCTTGCTTATTTTTGAAATTCCAGGCGCTCCGTCATTATGGCATACTAAATCATCGTATCTCGCTCGGTCGTAACGAAGAATGCCAATCTCCTTCTCTAATCCTAGAGGCTGTGTAATGTTAGCGCGTGCGCTCACGCACGCTAAGTCGTCAAGGTGGCACATCTATATTCCGATTCGACGTCGCTTTTATATCTTTCAATCAAATTACACGCTTGGCGCACTGTAATTTCGTTCCTTGGAAGTCCATTCGCGCGCTATCGACAGTCAAGAAATTACCGTTCGCGACGCGTATCGTCTCTCTGCCGTACCATCGAACGCATTAACGCGCATAACTTTACGGTCGTTAATCAATTTCTACTTTTCTTTCTTTCTTTCTTTCTTTCTTTTACTCTTTCTCTGTTTTCTCTTATAAAACAAGAAGAAAGAGGGAAATTTACGATGGAAGATACGAGAGAGAGAGAGAGAGAGAGAGAGAGAACATTTTCGAAATCGCGTCGACCACTCGTAAATACCGGAGAATTTTATAAGTAGCGAGAAGTCGCGGAAGCGACTCAGCACGATATCTTTTATCGTGAAAAAGTGACAGAGTAACGTCGTGTTCGGAAGAAGTTTGGATAATTGACAGAAATTGCTTCGAGCACAAAAGAATGTTGATGCTGTCGCGTAAAACATTGTTATAGCGATCTACGTCTTCGTCATCGTTCGCCGTATTACGACAAAGGTAGTAGTAGTAGTAGGCGAACGAGGCCGCAAGAACTCTCGATCGAGCTCGATTTTGCGGTTCGATCGAGCAGACGAAACAGAGACTTTGGCTGCGAAGCAACCGAGCGAGTAAACAGCTAGTCGGGCAGCCATCGAGCGAGCCAGCAAACACGTAAGCCGAGCGAGCAACTAGCCAGCTAAAGTATTTTATCTGAAAGAGGCAGTGCGCGCGTGACAGGCAGTAAAATCAAGTGCTCCAGTATTATGGTGTCGGCTACACCACCTTAACACGTGTTTACTCGTTCACTCGCTTCACCGTCCCTCGGTTTCCGTCGTCGTCGCACTCCTGCCAAGTTGTCTTTGCGTTACGTACTTTGCGTTGCGTTTCGACCGCGTCCACGCTCCGTTGGTCCGCGCGATCGTCGCCGATAAATCCTCTCTCTCTCTCTCTCTCTCTCTCTCTCTCTCTAGAGAGGTAGAGAGAAACAGACTGCCGCTCTTTTTTCTCCTTTTTCTCTCTGATAACCGACGATCGAGACTCTTGCTCTTTCGAGAGATACACTCTCCTCCTCTCTGGCTCTCGTATGCTCGCGAGTACGAGAGAAAAGAAATGAAAAGGAAGCTCGTTCGAGACCGTGGACTAAGCTGTATATTATAGTTAAATATAGTTACCTACAACGCCGCCAGTTATCGTAACCGTTCTTTTGGCTCTTTTATACATTTCTTCTTCCTCATCTTCTTCTTCTTCTTCTTCTTCTTCTTCTTCTTCTTCTCCTCCTCTTCCTCCTCCTTCCCTTCTTCTTCTTCTTCTTCTTCTTCTTTCGGAGAACGACGTTCGCCGAGTGATCCGCCGTGGTATCGGGATGATGTACGATCCGTTTCGTTTCGCCCGCTTGATTTATAGTACCGAGCGTTTAATAGATAGAACCTGGCGTTTTTCAGAAGAAGACGATAGGCATCGAAAGGGACCTTTGATCGAATTTCGTTAATTCGCGGCATCTCCGTCGTAGAAGGAAGAAATGAGAAATTTTTTATATTTTTTTTTTCCATCCGTCATTTTGAAATCAAAGTTTCATGTTGCTTTTTTTACTTCTTTCCGTTATCGGTCGCGTTTTTTCCCAATATATCGCAATGTTGACGATATATCAAACGTTCCTCGATACGCTACGTATACGAATATAGGTATATACGGCGCGTCTCGATACACCACGGGTCCGACCGATGAATTATTAATGGCGTCGACTTTTGGTTTCACGGGAGCACGATAGCCGCTCCACACGGTACCGTGCATCGCGTGTATATCATTTTAGCATTGGCTCTTATTCGGCGTTGATCCGCTTCCAGCTATCACGGCCGAATCTTAATTCGAGAATAAATCATTACGGGTTCCGTGCGAGTGCAAATTAATCGCGTGCAAGCGGTCCTACCACCGCGAGAGACGTCGCTTTTGATACTTACCTTTTGTACAATTTTCACCTCGAAGAAATTCACTTCCCTGACGTTTTCCTTCTTGATGTCACGCGCCTTTATGGTTATTTTCAATTATTTTTCAGATCTCGGATCTACAGTTGAAATTAACAAATTAATCGTTCCGTTAAATCGAACGAAAAATGGCTGATTATTATCATACGGGACAAATTAGTGCGAGGAACGCGTTGAGATTAATCGGGCGTATTCGTCATTCGGCCGAGCCGATCGTAAAGCCGTTACTGCTGGCACGATAATCTTTCATCCGAACGGCGCGTTTCACCGTTTTGTCGAATACAAGTCGATTGCCCGCTAAATGGAAATTTATGAAGATGCGTCAAACTTTGCTCCTCTCTCTCTCTCTCTCTCTCTCTCTCTCTGTCGTCCTTAACCATCCCATCGATGTTATATACTTACCTTTTAAACGAGTAGACCAAGCGACTTTGCGAGAGAGAGAGAGAGAGAGAGAAAGAGAGAGAGAGATTAATCGGGCGTATCCGTCGTCGTTACTCGTTCGATCGAAAAGAAACGATAAACTGGCGGGGCGCTCGATCCACCACTTACCGCGACATTTCTCGTAGTAACGACGATAATTCAACTCGCACGAGTATAACCGACGCCTTTCCGTTAACAAGAAGGACTTATGTAAGCGCTTTGGAAGGACAGACTGGTCGATGCTTGTAAACCTAAGGCAAAAGAAAAACGAGAAGCTTTTTAAATCGTGTTCAATCGACTAAATTTTATTGATCTCACCGTACAAGTTTTACAAGAGTCTCGAGCACTCACCGATCTTATTTAAGAGAGAAATCCGATGACGCCATCGTACCGAATTCTTCTAATGCCGTGTGACATTTGAAATTTCGTACCTTCCGGCTCCGCAGCGTCGGCCAGACATAGAATATCGTTATCAACGTCTACGAAAGGAGAAGTCTCGGAGGTGTGCCACGTCATCAACTGGTTTTACTCGAGTCATGTGATTTTTAAAGAGGCACCTTTCCACGTCCATGAATTCGACGATCGCGCCCACGATCGCGTTGATCGGCGATCTCGGTGGCGGACGCGCGATCCTATTCGATCCGGAGGACTACGTCATACACAGGTGAACGCGTCGGCGTATTTGTGGCTCCGCTTAGCCACAATTTGCCGCCTTATAAACAGGTATCCTTGCGCGAAGACTATCGAGAATGAATATTATTCTCTAACGGGTGGCACAAATTCGCGAGAGAATATTTTCCGTTCCTTCTCGTCGATTAGCGATTATCGATTACGATACGTTCGATGGACGTAGAATTCGAGGAAAGAAGAACAGTTGATATTTTTTAACGAAAGGTCCACGGAATCGTGATGCCTATATAGACTATATAGACAAAATTTCTATATACACCCGATATAAGAAGCTAACTCGCTTCGAATCGAACGCGGAGGCAGAACTCGTCGCGCGTGGGTCGTGCTGAGGCCGTCCTGCCCTTCCCAGTTATCGGAAGAAAACGAGAGAAGAGTCTTGGTCCCTCTCGCTCGAGAGGCGACACGCGAACGACGTCGTTTCTTTTCGACCGTCCACGATATCGCGCGCGAAACGACGATGCGTCGTGACGCCTCTCAGGAAACGCTCTCGAGATCCTACCAGTGGGATATCGAGTACACACGAAATTCGTGCGTTTCCTTCCACCGCGGTTTCATCGATTTTCCAAATTCTCGCGGATGACGACCTGAGAGGCAAGGGGAGAGGGGCATAGGTAGATGGATTGAGAGAGAGAGAGAGAGAGAGAGAGAGAGAGAGAGAGAGAGAGAGAGGTGGTTCTGGTCACAGGAGCATCCAATCGGAAGGAATTGTCAAAGATACTTGGTGGGGACCGAGTCAACCTACATCCAACCTACTCCGGATCTCTTTTCAAGGTGACGAGCTATGCCGCTTTCCATTGATTTCGTTGCGCTCGGCAATCGAATTACCTACCGAGAAAATTATCCTCTGGTAGCTCCTTGGGTAGGTCAACCGATTAATCGATTTTTATTTATTATTCGCGTGAATTGAAACGATATACCGAATGATATTCGAAGCAAAACTCTCTGAGCGAACATTTGTCGATCGTCCAAACTGGATCCTCGGGAATCAATGAAGGCGTCTCGATGCTGTCTCATTAAGAAAGATTCCGCGAAAGATAAAGGGAGCGCGCGCCTCTAAGGAGTCGGGGTGGAGTATTCGTGCGGGATTACATCTTAATTTTCGAATCTCTCTTTCGTCTCTCTCTCTCTCTCTCTCTCTCTCTCTCTCTCTCTCTCTCTCTCTCTCGCTCGTCGGAATCCACGCCCATCGCGTGCCGCGAGCTCGTTAAATCATTAGCGAGAGCGCGCGAGTAAGGCAGTCCTCCGACAGTCCGAACAACTTGCGCGACTTCCCTACCGGTATAATTCACTGTAATTTCACCGGAATTGAGACGTTTTTGAGCACTCTCCCTCTTCTCCTCCCTTATCAACGTCATTCGCGTCTCTTTGAAAGATGCTATCGTCAGATAGAGAAAGAGAGAGAGAGAGAGAGAGAGAGAGAGAGAAATTCCACTTCTTTGTAATAAAACATTTTCATTAATTACTATGTTAAATTTTGTCTGGTAAGAGTAAGAGAATTCGGTTACATGGAAAGCCCATAAGAGAAGTACCGTGTCTTTTCGAAAAGGAAAATAAGTACGGTGTCTGTAGGGGCAAGAGGTCGTGTGCGCGCGACGATAGAAGAAGCAAAGCCGTTAGTAGCGTCGCGCACGATACGAGGAAGAAGGTGCAAAAGGAGAGAGGAGGCAAAGAGGGAAAGAACACAAAGAGCACTTTGTGTGCAAATTTATCGCGCAAGCTGCGCGACCAAGGCAGAAGAATTTACGCGAGAATTATTTAGGCAGCCATTAGATGCATTCTCCCTCGATTAGGCAATCCGCAAGGTAGTCCATTCGATTCGCGAATTCGATTTCTCCGAATTTCTGTCCTCGCAACGATATCCGCGCACAGTATCGCGAGATACGAGATTATTACGCAGGCAATCAGGTTTCGACTTAGAGCGCATATAAATAGAGCCTTTTAATAGAGGACACGGCCGTGTCGAGAGTATATTCCACCTTGGCGCATAATATAGATATTACGACGGTATTACGGAATAATGGAGCATAAATTCGTTTATCCGTATGGAAAAGGCAATTAGAGCTGACTTTCTATTCGGCATACTATCTGTCGTTTCAGTTCATTCGTCGCACGAATTACGCCGAGGAAAACGGTACCGAAACGTTTCTCGCTGATATACCGCGGGATCGACATTGTGCGATTCTAAGACGGCGAGAGAGTCAAGAGAAGAGAAAAATTCTCATTCGACTTTCTAACCGCGACGGACACGGCAGTTTGCCTGAGCTTATTACGCCTACCGAACCCTTTATTTTATTTCCATTCGGTCGTATGAATATTGATATGCTTGGACGCAATTTAACGTAACGGATGAGATCGTAAATCTCCGGTGAAATTAATTAACGGAAGCGGAGAGCGAAACGCGGGAGCGCAATGAGAGCGGGGCGGAAGGGGGGGAGGCGCTGCTGGTGGTACCTCTCTCGTACCGGTGGTCCAAATTGTCTCGCCGATCCACCTCGCGAGGAAAGTCCTTCTCTCATTTGCACGGCTAATTCCGCAAATCGTAATTGAATTCGAGACTCGCGCGGTGCTCGGTCATTCGAGATCATTCGTCAAAGAAATGAATGGAACCGGGAACGATTTCTTATTCTTCTTTCTCCCTTTTCGAGCACGGATCTCCTTTTGCTTCTCTTTTTTGTTTCGCATCGTTCCTCGAGCGGTCGAACGAAAAGAAGAATCTTTTTCTACGGTATGTAAATCCGATGAAAGAAAAAGAAAGGAAAAGAATGTCCAGGTGACATACCGCGGAAGAAAAGTCGCTCGACCGCGCGAGAGAGATAAGATAAGGCTCGTCCATCTTCTTTTTCTTAGAGGCAAGCTAGCTCGGCGAAGGTTGCGTCAATCCGATTTCAATTATGCGAGCTCGCCCTCTTGGCACCCACGAGAGGCGGCGAGACGAGGAGGAGAGTCGGCGGCGTGCTCGCTCTCGTTGGACATCCTCCGTAGCGAAAGTTTAATTTGCACCGTCCGAATTTTAATGGGCACCGACATATTGTGTGCCTTCGTTGGTAATTCCTGTCGGATTTAAAGCTACTCTCTCCACCTCCAGGTCTCTTTTCGATCTCGGTCCTCCTTCGAGATCGCGATTACCGTCGACTACTCGCGGCAATCAAAATCCGCGAGAGCGCGCGGCGGCCAAGAGATAAAGTCAATCTCCTTGGTACGTCCGATTCGTCGTCTTCTCCTTCTTCGAGATTCTACCTCCTGATACGTCGGCTTTGATATTAAAACAAATCGAACAAGATGGATTACGTCTTTTTATTTCCCATTTATTTCTTTTCGCGGAGATACAAGGCTTTCGAGAGTCTCTACGAGATCGATCGCGAGGCATCGTATTTCCGAATTACGATCGGCCACGTATTTTTACGGGGACGACATTTAGGTAAATGAATTGGCAGAAAAAGAGTGTAAAAAAGAAAGGAATAAAGGATGTCCGCTGGTGAGTTTCCAATGGCGCGAATCCAGAAAATCGTCCGATTCGAGAGAGAGAAAGAGAGAGACAGAGAGAGGGAGAGGAACGTTTTACGATTCGCTCTCGTCGATTTACGGTACTCCGAAGAGGCAAGAGGTGTACGACAACGTCCGCCGTAGTGTTTCTCTTCGGGGCGGCATATCCAATACGCCGTAAATCCAGGCGAGTAACGAGGCGACTGTCGAAAGTGACTTGAAATAAGCCAAGAGACCTTCTCTCCTCCTCCTCCTCCTCCTCCTCCTCCTCCGATGTCTTTTCACTCTTTCTTTCTTTCACCCTTAGCCGAGACGCGGTCGTAAATCAAAAAGGAAACGCGACTCTACCGAAAACTCTCGGAGAAATGGAAGATAAAAAGGAGCTCTCCACCTGGAGCTCCGAGTAAAAAGATGGAGACGGAAGTGACGCCTGGGAAGGGATAAATCACAAGGAACGTAAATTAATGCGACCGTTCCGCTCCACGTACTTCCACTTTTCTTTAAGTGACTTATCGTAAGCGGGAAGCGTTTCGTTTCTCCGCTCCATTCATACTTCTCTTCTTCCTTCTCATCCTACTTCGTCTCGAGGTGGAGTAAAATAAATAAATAACAGTGCGGACAAATTGTATCGAAGAAATAAACCACTAAGAGATGAAAATACAAGTCCGCTTAATTCAATTAGTAAATGTTGAGATAAGATTGGAGCTTAGCTCCGGACTGATCGCGCGAGGCCGCTACAAAAGAGAGAAGGAGACCGTGAGGGTGAGAGAGAGAGAGAGAGCGAAAATCCGACACGGCAGACCGGTCGCAAATCTTCGATCTGTCTTAAAGATAATGATGCACTCGAGAGGCTAAGACCACGAATCGTTTTTCGTTTATTCTTCTTCTCCTTTTGTTTCTTTTTTTTTCTTTTTGAGAGAGAGAGAGAGAGAGAGAAGAGAAATAATTTTCGAAGTCTACGCGAGCGGCAAACTTTGACGAAGCGAGACTAACGGATCGTCGGTTCGTTGATGCGCAATGTGGATTTGAAATTCCGTTCTCGTTATAGCGGAAGAATTTTTCTACGAGTCGAACGAGTCTTTCATAATAAATAAACGGAGCAGTACCGCGGCAATATTTCGCATAAAGAGGAGAAACCTGGTCCGAGTCGCGGTCGTCCTCGTAGAGAGGAATGGGAGCGCGTTGTTCCCACGCGAGTAGATGCGTACCCGCGCCTAACACGTTCGACGACCATCTTCCTCCCTCTCTTTCTCTCTTTCTCCTCTTTTTCTTCCTCTTCCATGTAGTCGCAATCGTCGTCTTATGTACTTGAGCATACGTA